GGGCTCGTACCTGTGCCACGGGGACCAGCCAGCCCGCCCACGGGAGGCCACGTCGCCGAGGGCTTTTGTGTGTGTGCGTGGGAGGGGACTCGGGTTTGGACACGGGTCAGAGCCCGAATCCACACTGCAGAGGAGCCCGACGTTTGCAGCACAGGCCTAGGTCAGGCCCCGTGGCTAGCACCGGCCACGGGGACCAGCCAGCCCGCCCACGGGAGGCCACGTCGCCGAGGGCTTTTGTGTGTGTGCGTGGGAGGGGACTCGGGTTTGGACACGGGTCAGAGCCCGAATCCACACTGCAGAGGAGCCCGACGTTTGCAGCACAGGCCTAGGTCAGGCCCCGTGGCTAGCACCGGCGCTCGTCCATCTACTCGGGCTGGGAGGCGCCCCTCGCTGCAGGGCAGACGGACGCTTGCCGGGCCGAGAAATCGAATTCAAGAGAAGCAGGGAGCTGGAGCGACTCGGAGCCAGGACTCAAGCCTGCTGCATCCAGGCGGGGCCCCGTTTGGGGGGTGGCTAGCAGGGAGGCAGATGGGAGCACCCGTTCCCCATGGACAGGCATCCCATCTGGAACTAGGGTTACCAGGTGTCCGGTTTTCACCCGGACAGTCCAATAATTGCAGCTTCTGTCCGGTAAAAAAAACCCAGAAAATACCGGACGTGTAAAATGTCCAGTATTTTCTGTTTTTCTTGGCTGGAAGGTCGGTGGGGACATTTTCCCCCTTCTGCATCTGGCAGGGGTGGAGGGAGCAGGGAGTGAGACTTTTTTTTTTTGCTCAACAAGTTTGGTTCCTCCCCCCTTCCCCCCCACACTTTTTTTTTTTTTTGCTCAATCAATTTTTTCCCCTGCCATGTTTGGGATTTTTTGTGACGGTATCTGGCAGCCCAATCTGGAACACAGGAGAGAGGGGTCTCTTGTGACTCCAACGGAGTGACACTGATTTATGCCGGATGGGGTCAGGCCCCACTGAGTTTAAAGGGAAACAGCATCTCAGACTGAGCCCTGTCTAGTCTGTTTCCGTAGAGCCCAGTTCTCGGGGATCTGTTTTAAAAGTCCTACCCCTGCCTGTGTGGGTCTGTGACGTAGTGGGGGTACCTGGCTGGTTTCTATGCTGCTGGCTCTGGGGGAACCCCCACTTGCTGCTGCTGGGACCACGACCCAGCAAAACAGGATGAGTCACTATGCAAACCAGTGGCCAGACACCCCCCATGGAG